TGGAGGATACTGTAAAATGGTGTAGTTTGTTTGTTTATGGATATATTTTGATCAAACTTGGCAAATTTATTTATTTTATACTAAGCTATCAATGTTTTACTAAAAAACGCAATTTATTAGTTTCCTTGTAGCAGCAAACCTAGGTACTCGTTAAACATAATTTAAATATATTTAATTGAAAATCAATTCAGACAAATGGAAATTCGCTTAGTCGGCAGGTTGGCTGTGGCGGGGGTATTTAATTCGTGTACTTAATTTTATTGTCTCTAATTTTAAAACGGAAGTGAAAGTTTAATAGCCCTAAATAGCGCTATTACTTTTCGGATCCCATATTAATTGCATTGTTGTCATAACGACTCACTGTGTACCACTACATTGTTGTGGCAAATTTTCAGCATTGTTTTTGTATTAAAATATAAGTTATATATACCGTTAGAAAGGTAATATTCTGACAAAAAAGTGTGTGTAAGAAGTTTTCAGCTACGTGTAACGGTATCCATGACACTTAGCAAAATGACTTTAAAAAATCTAAATAAAAAACAAAATATTTAATAAAACTATAAATATTCGTAGTATTATGAATCTAAACAATTAAGTAAAATACACCATCGGAAAGGTAATTTTTTCGTGATTAATAATCACTAAACATGTAGGGCACTATTAAAATATGAACCCGAGTTATATAGGGAAATGTAGAATCGTGTCACACAACTTTGGCGGCCATTTTGATTACGTCATCAACACACATAGAGTGCCCGAAAAATTTGTGTCCCGGTCTTTTTGGACTCGTCTACCCATGTCCTTTCTGAATCCAAAGGGGCGCGTTGGTTGCCAGATGTGAAATATTTTGGTGTAATTTGTTGCTAACCCACCCCACTTTGTCCGTTCCAAAATTCAAGGCCCTCAAATTCACTCACCTAATTGATTATAGAAAAATAACATTAACACGGTCTCTAATGATTTGGGAAACAAAAGTCAACTGTAAGCAGCTCAGTATTAAAATATTGCCAGTGATTTGATTGAAGCAGCTGTTTAGCTATATCTATATAAATAAAATTAGAGTTTTGTCTGTACATTGCTCAGAATTATATATTTTAACCTTTTTTACGTTTTATACATTAAAGAAGCAGAAACGAGTCTAATCTCTATTTCTGTCTGTCTGTCTGTCTGTCTTTCTGTCTTTCTGTAACACTCAAGATGGCATTTTACCCAATCTTCTCCGTGAAAACGAGAGTACCTATCAAGATCCAAGTCATTTTAATGTATTCACTGGATTGGCGAGAGTGTCTTTAGTGATTAAAATATGGCCTCACTACTTTATAAATAAAATTACGGACGTTCAAAATGCAGTTTTGTGCGATTTTTGTCAAATTTTCATTCAATTTTTATTACATAATCGTCTATGAAGTAACGAACAGCTGTCCGGATCAAGATTATTTTTTCTAGCTGTCACTGATATGTTTACAAATGTTGTTTACAAATACCGCAACCATTTCGAATCACGTTTTGAAAGCAAATCCCAACCAACCAAGTGAGATTGAAAACGTTTTTCTTATAAAACGGATTTAATTAATCGCAAGTGCAATATCATAGTGTAACCGTAAATGAAATTAAATAACTAGGCATCATCCAGGTCAGGACCCAGACATTCTTTGTGTATAAAATTGTTCTTGAGTTTTGATAACCAGAAAAAATACCTTGAATCAGTGTTGTATATGGCTGGGACACTTAATGATCGTCGTCAATAGCTTACAAACAAGGTTTCCACTCATTGACGGCGCTTCAATGGCGATTGTGTAAAGTGTAAAGTAAAAAAAATACAACTGCAGTGGGTGATTGTAACAGAGGTTTACGGATTATGGTAAACTCGCTTTTCCAATGTGTCACTTTCTGTTTCTATTCACCGTGTGGTGCAATCGCTGGACCATACAGCCAATAGGCCAATAGCCCATCTTTTTGGTACGTACGCCTACCTATTTATTCATAACAACCTTTTCAACGACGATCCTAGATACCGGTACTTTTCCATAGAATACATGGCCTACCTACTTAAGAAATAAAATTACCAATGTTCAAAAACCCAACATTGTGTGATTTTTGTCACATTTCCTTCTAATGTTAATATATATACTAATCATTGTTAAGAGAATACGTAATCTATGAAATAACAAGAAGTTGTTTGGATAAGGTTGTTTTTTTTTTTCAAACTGACACCGATAAGTTTACATTAAAAGTTATAACTTTTTACGAGAAAATCCAAAACCAAGAGATCAATAACCTCGGGGCTAGATTAATGCATTTAATTGGTCGGATGTACTATAGTTCTTAACTGTAAACGTTGGTTTTTGGTACTGGTTCTTTTCCTTAGAACAGTTGGTATAGCTGCAAGAATCATTTTTACGTACCAACACATCACTGTAATTTACAAATTAGTTATCGTTGGTGTTGCACTTTATTTATTAGAGCCGTATTCAATTTAATTGATGTCTTAAGTGTATAAGTTTTGCTTTTTCTGCCTGGATTCCAAAATATTAACTTACCCGTTGTATGCTAAGAAAATGGTAACCCATTTGAGTAAAACATTTGTATAGCAAACCATCATGAATTGTTTTCGCCTTTACGTGTAGTACTTTAAATACGTTTAACCATTGTGGAAAGTAACTTTCAATTATAGGCCTACCTTAGGGCTATGCCTCATGGATCTATAAAGCATTTTTTAGTTTAATCATTGGATTTAACATATGGACCAACACGATCCGGGTGACATTTAATTGCGATGCATTTATTTTGGCTTGAACTGTCAGATACTGTATTTGACAAGGTTTGTATAAAATAGTTTTGCCAGCATATCTGCAAATATGCAAACCAACTGCTTTTCTTAATATAAGAAGGTTTCAACTGACTACTTTAAGATCCCCGTGCGTAGAACGGGCACACAGCTAGTCAACCACTAAATTAGCCGCAACGTATAAAATTATGGCACGAATGGCACGATCAAGTTTAGTCTAGTAAAAATAAGAATCCAACACTTTTAATAAAATCAAATTTATTTATGTTTATGATCGATACAGTTTCTGTTTAAATATTTCTGCATTACTATAATAGCAGTTACCCGGTGCGCGTTGCAGCGCTAACAACTATTATTTTAAACTAGTGCTTCTGTTGCTCGTATTCGAGCAATTGCAAAGTATTCCAGACATTATTTCAACACGAATAACAGTAATAATTTCCGATGACTGAAAGAGTCATCTTAAAAATGATGAAATCAATCACTCCACTCCAGTTATCGAAATTGAAAACGATTACCGAACGAAAACGATACCAAGTCATAAACATTAAAAAAAATACACCTCAATATCTTCCCTGTAGCAGCAAACCTAGGTACTAATTCAAATTAATGTTATTAGGAAATATATCGGACCACGCGTTGAAACAAGAAACTACATTAAATTTAAAATTACAATATTTTGAATATTTGTTCGGAATGTATAATATCATAAACGTATCTTTCTATCTAAATATATAAATGACAATCAAAAGTGTGTCACTGATGTAGCATGTAACTTCAAGTAGTATAAATATTGTGTTGCATAAGCTCTAGCAATGTGATGGACAGTATCCTCTGTTTAGTAAGCACTGCTGGAAGATTGAAATATATTAGTGACAGTAAAGAAATATTTTACTTCTTAAACAACACTTCACCACGACAACATTTGGTACAGTTAATTATTGAGATTTTCTATTATTTATCAACTTCCCGTTCACCTGACACATGGTTAACAAAGGAACATCTGCGTCGTGCTAGGAATTCCAGGAAGGGTCACACATTCCCTTTCCTCTGTTCATAGTTCACAATGTTCTGTTATCTGGACCTTCCAGCTACTAGTCATATTTAATGGGATTACTGAGAAATAATTTTCCACTACAACAGCAATGCCAATGAACTTTCTGAAATATGTTCACAGAAAAAAAACAGATCTGTGTCCGTCCACAACAAACCCAATGAACTGAAATGTTAATTCTATGAGCTGCATTTGCCGCAATCCAGGGAGTTCGTGAGATGCGTTTCACGACCTAGGTCAGGACCCAGAAATTCCTGACACTAACAATTCCACATGTTGGCATTATTTAAATAAATAAACCCAGTTAATACGACTAAACGTCAACAACAGCCTTAATCCTAATATCAATACGATAGTACAATTTAATATTACAAAATTAACTTACAACCTAATAACTGCTTTAGTAAAATTTTAGGTTTTACTTTCATATCTTTAACTATATTTAAACCTATATACAAACATTAACATACATTATACATAATACATTATACATTATATATATACAAACATTATCCCTTGACAAACATTAATTTTTCATAAATTTACTATAATATGAAAAGCCTAAATTCATATTAGGCCTACATACAAAATACCCCCGCTGCAGTTACAACTAAATAGCCTTTTTAATTTACTCCTTGTATTTCCATTCACTACACATTATGTAACTTACTAGATAATAGGGTCTATATTTCAGTCATTATTTAATGGATCCAACAACTGTAAGGGTGATATTATTTTGACCATTTAAACATTTTAGTCTTGATCTGGAAAAAATATGCCGCACAGTCAAGTACTCTCAAAAACACGACTCGGCAATTAGGTGAACGATTCCATGAGGTGATGTGTTCTCAGCGACCTAGTAAACGACTCCATTAGGTGATTAGTTCTCTTGCCTGTGTCTGTGAGGGTAGGGAGAACGGGAAGAAACCGACGCGGTGAGGGAGATCTCCCTCAGTCCTAATGTCGCACCCCTGAAATTATCCGCGTGGCTGCGCCTGCGGACCCAGAACGGACCAGGTCAAATTCAGTCCTGTTGTCACACCACCGCCAGGGGCAGCCCAGACCGAAAGTCCGTTTCCCACGGGCAGTCGCTTAGTCTGCAGGTTTGCTGTGGTGGGGGTATTTTTAATAAATAATAGGGAATAGTGACTGTTTTAGGAGGTCCCTCTACCAAGGCACTACAGCAAGTTGATGTATCCATCACAGCTGAGAATGTATGTAGGAACGCATACTCCAGTCAGCGAGGGGCTGTCATTGACAACAGAGTGTTGTGTGCCAGCAACCCGGGCAAAGATGCTTGTCAGGTCAGCTACATACACACATACTCATCATTTTGTATTATTTTTTCACACGATATCACGTTTTGATATTTTTCCCTTCGTACAAAATTGATGTCTTTAAAATAATGATTTTAAAACAATTATAATCGTTACTAAAGGAGCCTACGATAAATTTATTAGACCAGATTACAACAAACAAATTTACAACCCTCTCTAAAAAATGTATTGTTTTGATCTGAACTGTAAATCCATTTCCTTTTATTTCAGACAATTAGTTAATTTTAAGTTCAAATTCTTTTAATAGTATAATTGTCAGTTTATTTACACCTTTCCTGTTTTGTTTTAGTGAACAAATCACGTAATGTAAACCAACAATTTATGTTTAAAAACTCATTTTTAGGCATAAGTAAGTTTGATATAGCTTCCAAGAAACTAATTCCAGACTCATTCTTTCGCATTTAAAATAATTATTAAATGTGAACTTAGGCTATACCGAATCAGTCTTGAACATTGGTTGTTATCTATACTGTAACTATAATACAGCCGCATTTGTTACTCACTCAGGTATACAAATTCTAGACCACTTCTAGATGTGCTAGGGGGTTTAACTTTGGCACGCTTGTAGGTCTTGGGCCCAAACTCTCGGTAAAATTAAAAAAGTCGGATTTAAAAATTTTAACCCACCCGCCCCTCGAAAAAGTTTGTTTCCCTCCATGTTATTCTTATGGGGAATAACATTGAAAAATACCGACTTTCGTATGCTCATCTGAACAAGTTTAAAACGTGCTATTGGTAGTACTACAGTATGGGGTCTTAAATTAACGGTAGAATTTACAAAAGTCCCATTTTAAAATTTTAACCCCCCCACAAATCCAAAAAGACGGACATTTAAAAATGTCAAAACAGGTTTTTTAACGGCTATAGCTCGAAAACGGTAAGAACTAGAATAGATTTGAACGAATTTTCATAGGCAGGAATTAAATTTTCTACAAGACACTATCATGTGTTTTTCGAATATTGCACTCCTTCACCTTAAAAAAACGCCCTACTTTCTAAATTTGGTCAATTTCTTTCAAATTTTTAACGGGTTTCACTATTTTTTCATACTTAAATAATTTATTTTTGCAAATATTATTAATGCTTTGTATCCTCCTTAGTTTACTTTAAAATTTTATCACCACATGTTTTTTCGTAACTTTACTCCTTTATCCCCAAAACTTGTAAAATTGTAAAATATTGAGTTTAATTTTAGTTGTATTAGATATTAGGCTATGGTCCATGGGTGGACTGAGGAGACAAAGGCTTCAGCACTGTGCCTTGCACTACGGGGCGATGCGTTAGCTGTTCTGCATGCCATGCCAATGGCGGAGAGGAAGAATTTCGCAGAATTAGTGAGAAGATTGGACATGCGGTTTGGAAATCGACATATGGATCAGCTTTACCGATCTCAACTGCGGAACCGGATCCAGAAGACCACCGAGTCACTTCAGGAGTTTGAAGCCGACATTGCTCGCCTGGTGAGAAACGCCGATCCATCGGTCACGGATGATGTCTACGAGAGTTTGGCGGTGGATAAATTCCTAGACGGTCTACGTGAACCTGAGACTCAACAGACAGTGAAGCTCGCCAGACCAAAGACCCTGAGTGACGCACTGACACAGGCACTGGAGTTCGAGGCTGTACGGCAGTCGGTGAGAGGTCAGGCCCGAGTCCGTGTGGCAGATGCAGAAACTACATCTCCACTCGACTTCGAGGAGCTGGTGAAAAGAGTTCTGGAGGCGCTAAAAATACGTCGCCGGCAGATACGCTGTTGGAGCTGTGGACAGATGGGACATCCCCGGAGTAAATGTCCTTCGACCGCATCAGAACCAAAGCAGGAAAACTAAGGAGGGTTGATGGAAAGGGGCAGCCGTCAGCCCCCGATATGAAAGTCCCGAGGAATAGTGTTTAAGTTGCTTCACTGGGAAGTCAGTCAAGCAGTTTCTACATAGACAGAAAGGTGAACGGTCGTCTCCAAAGCTGTCTTCTGGATACCGGGGCGACTATGACAATTCTGAATCCGAACACTGTGTCAACTGAAGAGATTTCACCAACATCACGGTCTCTACGTACAGCTGCAGGTCAGCTAGCTCAGGTCTACGGGCAGATGGTTGCTACCTTTCACATCGGCGGCTGTGTATTTAAACATTGCGCCCTAGTTGCCGACATAGACGAGGACGTGATTTTAGGAACAGATATAATGGTGAAGTACGGACTGAAGTTGGACATGTCAAGAGGACTAGTGACTCTCGGAGACTAAGATGTCATACTTCGGCGCGGAAAAGATATATCTGCACGAGTCCTTCTACTGGAAGACACAACGCTACCGGCGCGCAGCCATGTCATCGTTCTAGCTACTGTCGAAGGAGATTGGACTAGTGGGCAAAGTGTTCTGCTGGAGCCAGGAAGTGACAGTGAATCCCAGCTTGGTCGTGGTTTCTTTGTCGCCAGATCCTTATTTACTTTAGGACACGAAAATCTGGTACGACTGATGAACTTGAATGGTTTTCCTGTGACAATAAAAAAAGAGGAGTAACGATCGGAACGTGCGTGGCTGTTAATTCGGTAATACGTCAACTAAAATCATGTCCGCCATCCCCAAATGGATTGCCGAAGGAGCTGGAAGATTTCGTGGAGAGCACCTGTCAGGAGCTGACGCATCAACAAAGTGTCAAAATAAGGGACTTTATTACCAGATGGCAAGATGTCTTCGAGTACGAAAGCAGCCCCAGAGGAAGAACAAATATAGTACAACACATGATAGACACCGGAGATGCAAAACCCATACGTCAGGCCCCTAGACGACTCCCACTGGCAAAACGTGACGAAGCCTAGAGAATCATAAAGGAGATGGAAGCGGATGGTGTCATCGAGCCTTCTAGCAGCCCTTGGGTGTCACCTGTCAACAATAGCCAGGCGCCGTCTCAAAAGGGTTGCTTGTCTAACGGGATTCTCCGAACTCACCAGTGAATAGACAATAGACCCACGTCAACGGACAACCTCAATAGGGGCCTAATAACCTTCTACACTTCCACGCCGGTTTGTAAACAACGGATACCCGAACTCTCCACTCTAGAATGTTCTATGACAAACTTATATAAGGGACCGTCTTCCAGCACACGGCAGTTGAGTTGAGTTAGGTCTAGTCCGAGGATCATCGCAGCGACGACACGCTGGTGTGAGCACGTGTGAGTGACCAGTGTTAGGGACAGTGAGAGTAACAGTGTAGTGACACTAGTGACAGTGTTGTGACAGAAGTAGTGATAAATCCTGTAAAGGTTAGCTGTAAGTAGAATCATTGTAAATTAGAATAGGCTTTAGCTAGGTTAGATAGGGTTAGTTAGGTGTTAGGTAATTGTAATGTAAATAGAGAATACTTAGTGTAAAAATAAATAGTTATTATAAAATCGCCAAGTTTTATTGTAAAGAACCTGCTAAGCCCGCAACATTATTAATGTTTTGTATTTAAATTAGTTTACTCTAGATTTTACTCACCACATGTTTTTTGTCACTTTACTCCTTGCTTGACCCCCAAAACTTAGGTTAATTGTCAAAATTGGATAAATGTAATGACTTTGGTATGAGCATCTGAATCGTTTAGAAGCGTGCTAATGACTCGAAATTTGGTAGTATTGTAGTATAGGATCCTAAATTAATGGTGACATTTGCAAAAACCGCATTTTAAAATTTTAACCCCCCAAAAAACAAAAATGGTGGACATCTAAAAACGACAAAACAAATTTTTTAAAGGCTATAACTTTAAAAACGGTAAGAGATTTACAAGCATTTTCATGGTCAGGAATTAAATTTTCTGCAAAACCCCCTCTAGTGTTTTCAGAAAATTTCACCCCCTCGCCCCTAAAAAAACGCCCTACCTTAGCAATTTGTTTTTTTGAAAATATTATTAATTAATAAAATTAATTAATATTATTATTATTAATTAATATAATTAATAAAATATTATTTTTCACCTTAATTTCACTCCGTATATGTATTTTCATAACTTTACTCCTTAACCCCTAAAACTTAAATTTAATGTTAAATTTAAAAAAATGTATAACTTTTACAAGGTTTTAAAAGACACTTTACATATTCTATGGGCGCAAAGGGTATTTAAACTATACGCAGTTTACTGTAATAGAGCTAATGCCGAGGTATGAATAAAAAAGGAACCATATAAAAATTCCTCCCCCCCTCCAAAATCGATTTCCCCCCTTATATCTTTCCTATTGCCACCACAGGTGCATCGGTCTGAATCACGTTTACCTATACGGTTATATAGATTAACTGGAGATCTGAAATTTGGACTATTGTAGGTCTTATGCCCTTTTTTAAAAGTGACATCCAACAATAATAACCCCACCCCCCGAAATATCGAATTCCTCCGCCCCAATGTTATTCTTACAGGTGCATCGGTCTAAATCACGTTTACCCATTTCTAGATTAGCTGGAGATCTGCAATTTCGCACGATTGTAGGTCTTGCGCCCTTTGTGAAAAGTGACATACAAAAACCTTCTGGGCATTTTCCGAAAATCACACCCCTTCACCAACCCAAATAAACGGTCTACTTCTAAAGTTTTATGAAATTCCTAGAATTTTAAGGGGATTTTAATTTTTTATATTTATTTTTGGATTTGTAATTAGCCCGATTTCAAAGGAAAATCCACCAAAAAATCATATAAAAATTTTTACACCCCCTAGAAAAAATTAAAATGGCGGGTTTTCAAAAGAATCTAAATCTTTTTTATGAGCACTACATAGAATCCCATGTATTAAAGGTACTTAGTATTTTTAAATATATACCCACCCCCATTTCCTAATAATTGGACCCCCTCAGTTCTTGAACCAATGTCTTTCATCGTTGTAAGTAGCCTACTTGAAATCTTTCACAGTTATTAGTATTTGAGTTACAGTTATAGTATGATATTATCAATGGAGATGGGCACGCCATCTAAGTGCTTATTGTATTACTGTGATTACCCCTTTAAGTCAGCACCATCACAATCTGTCAAGTATATATATATTTATGTTTCTTTTCGTGTTCGTATCTCTTGCACGACAGCTTCATCGTAGGACTCAGTTCAAACAACCTGGATATATTTCGTGATTTTAAAATATTGTAAGAAAATTATAACACATTCATCCAGATTAATGTTAGTAAAAAAATGTTTATTTTAAACGTTTAACAACTGTCGACATGTTTTGTCTATAATACATCTGTTAATGTTGTTTACTACACTGGAGATATTATGGACTGACTGTATGGGGAGAGTTGTTATAACGGCTTCAGTTAAATGAATCTGCAATATCGTTAAAATAAATTATTGAAACGATGACCTTTGAAGATTATACAAATCTATTCCCAGCAGTCTGCCGAATTGGTATTTTAAATGTATATGATACGTTTATGTAGTTACCTTTTACATAACATCAAGTGATTATTATTTGACTGGATTGTCAATCAATTCTACCAAGCAAACCTATTAGAAGAATTTTTTTTAGTTTGTTCTTGGTAATTTTTATATTTTTATACCAATATTTACGTTTACTTTGAGTAGGGGTTCACGGTTAAACCTAATGTACAAATGTTACGTTTGCATAAGCCTACATATACCTTAGTTTTAAGATTTTAGCAATAAGAACTTTTCTTTTCGACATGTGTCTGGTTGGTTGAAAGGTTTGTTCTACACATGCAGGGTGACTCTGGAGGCCCTCTCATGTTGGGTCGGGATGACACGTTCTACCTCATCGGCGTTGTCTCTTACGGCAAGAACTGCGCTGATCCGCAATACCCCGGTGTCTACACTCGTGTGTCGTCCTTCATCAACTGGATAAACAACAACCTCAACTGAACCAACAACCAGTATGCGAGTGCTGTAACAGTATATTGACGTCCACATTTCAGTGTCACCCTTCGTCAACCAATCTAAACCTGAAATTATAATTTTCAATTTGTTTGACAAGTTGAAGTATTTCTATCGTTACATCACTACAGTCGTTATGGTGTAAATTAAATTTTGATAACACACATAAATAGCTATTACTTCAATTTTTTAGCAATCTCTCAAGAACATTGATAGATAGATACCATAATAAAAGAGATAGTAAAAACAGAGGTAGAGACATCTGCCCCAAATCAAATCAAATCAAATACTGGTGTATTATTTGTCCCGAGAACTTGATCGATCTCAACATATAAGTGAGGCCGATGTACATATTATTTTATCGTGATATATTGCAAGTAAACTGAGGAATTTGAATTTTGTACGTATTCTAATATTAGTGTTAGCTTACATATTCATTGGCAAACAAAAACGAATTTAGAATTTCCAGAACATCAGGTTCCATTAATTACAGGTTTATGCTTGCTAGCTTTAAATTGTTTTAATTTTTTATAATGTACTGAAAACACAACTGCATTTCATGCAGGTTGGTTTGTTGTAATGAGAAGTTTTAACGTTTATGAGTTTTAAGTTGTATGTTTAACTATTTAACTAAATTATTTTAGGTAGTAATAAAATTAAAAGAAATTTTTTACTTATGGCTGTTGTTTTTATTTTCCATTAAAAAACTCAGGAATAATTGACAATGGTTTCAAGATAAATTATTTTATTGTTCCTTCTATATCATCTCAAGTTGGACTGCAATCCATAGATAGGCTACTAATTTAGTAATTCACATTACTAAAAAATCAAGATGGCTAACCTGTAAGTAACTTAAGGTATATCAAATTTTAATAAATACCTAGTTCTAGTATAACAGTTCTAGTATAGTACCTGCCTGTTGTGTACGACTGACATTATGCGAGGCATATCCTCGGCTCTGGAAGTAGCCTCTACCTGGGAGGTGAAAAACGGGCAAGTTTCAGCCTCCGAAGGGGAGGTAACTGCTCGGTGTCGGAATTGGCATTTCAAGTAGGCCATAGTCATGGACGACTGGACAAGCCAGCCCCTTTGGGTTGCACCCAAAGTGAAAGTACCCAGTGACATTCCTCCATCCAGGATGGTGGGGTGTTCAGCTCTCGGAGAGGTGGTAGTGTGCCATCAATCTCCCATCTGCCTGTGGCTGTGGTTCTATGGGCTTTGGCCCGCTTGTTGTGTGCGACCGACATTTTGTGTGGCAAATCCTTGACTTTGGAAGTGGCCTTTTCCTGGGAGGTGAAAATGGGCGAGTACCCGTAAGCTCACGGGGACACTCTAGGGGAACGGAACTTTCCGCAGTGTGAGGGCAACGGATGGTGGTCACATGCGATTATGTTATCCCTGTCTCTGGGCCCGGAGGGTATGGTTCTCGAGAGTGTGGGGAGTTCTCCCTGGAACCTCAATTGAGTTAAGAGTGTCGCCACCTTTGATGGATAGGTTCATCCGGGTGGGTGCCACTTCTATACCTGCCTCCTTTTGGGAAACTCTGATGGCCTGGCAGTGATGCTGGACTAGATGGGCAAACGAAGTAGATCGGGTGCTGGGATCAAGCCTGCTGGGGGTATCTGGGGATATATCGCCCTGGTTATTCCTGGTTTCCCAGTGATTGGGTAAGCCTCAATCGGGTAGTGGTGCAAATAGGTGGTTGCTGACGGTCCCCTTCCTCCTGGCTATGATGGCGGGTTTCGGTCAGTCAGGGATTAGATAGGTCCCGAGTGTTGCTTGCATTGTGTTTGCGTTCAGGGCATTCCATTATGGTCCTTCAGGGTTTCGGTCCAGGTGGAACCAATTTGGAGTGTACGTGCGACCTAGTAACCGGTATCCTGGTTAGGATTGAGGGGTAACCCTCATTCCGAAGGGCTGCTTCGGCAGCCGGTGAGCTTGATGGCCTTAAGCCATTCACCCATGGTGTGTCAAGGTTGGTGCGTAAGCTCCGGCTGACACTATGGGGCCCGGGTTATGTTTAGTTATAGGTACCGGGTAGCCGTTGGTGGGTTTTGGTTCCTTTGACAAAGAAATGAGAATGAGAATGAGTTCTAGTATAATAATTTGTAGTGGTTTCAAATAATTTTTTGTTACCACTGACTGGCCAACAAAAAGGGATTCGCGTGGATTTATTTGTGACAGGGGAAGTTCGCGCACCTTAGCTAACCTAATTATTCTGAGTAAGTTAGTAAAACTACCAGTAGCCTATGACCACAAAGATTGTATTCATCACAAACTACGACGGGACGTTTTCAAACCAAAACTGAAGATTTAGTCTTCCCCCTGTAGTTCATTAAAATTTCGTATATTCAATCTTAATGCTGAGTGAATTGGTTGACCATTAACATTAGAAGCAACGAAACCAGTTGATACTAATACAGGAACGCTGCTGTCACCGCATGTTGATTTCGTTGTATTTACAATCTCATTTATAACTACTAACTTTTTTATACAGCCATAACAATGTTTAGTTTACTAATGGAATATTAATACAAAATACACGTAATAATCAACTTCTTCTGTTGGTAATAAAAGGTTCAACGTGTTCACACTGAAACCAAGAAAAAATCACTCACTCAAATAGTTAATAACAAGATGATTAACATCACGAATATTATAACAGAAGTGGTATTGATAATAAATAAATGAAGGCACAATCCCTAAAAGCAAACATGTTTGTATTCTTATTTTAATTTCCTAAAAGCAAACATGTTTGTATTCTTATTTTAATTTTACTGTAAAATAAACGGTATCAGCAATCTGACACAAACTTTCTCCCATAAGCTTGCCAACAACCCTTAACATGGGTAAGCAGCGTGAGTAACTATGATATTTTTATAGAGAAAAATCACAAAAGTTACAATACCTTTTGAACCGTATTTTTTTACGGAAATAGAACTTGTACAATTTTGTTCAAAGTTGAAAGGACCATAACATACTTATTATAATCAAAACATGATTTTTTTCTAAATTCAAATTTTTCGTTTTTAATGGGGTTTTATGGGAAAATAACATAAGTTACAACAACTTTTGAACCGTAATTTTTACGGAAATGGGATTTGTACCTACCATTTTAGCGAATTTTCCATATAGGGAATAAGCTATTACCGTAGTACTCAAGTTAGGACCTAGACCCACGCAAATGCAGTTACTGATAGTAACTGTCAAATTAGTATATATTTGTTATGATTTGATTGTTATTGTTTTTTGTTTTTAAAATATTTTTTTAATAACAATTTATTAACCGATCAGTAATTACATTGCTATACAGGTTAGGTATAATATAAGAAAAAATAGAATTATTAATTACATTAACATAGGTAGAGGTCAGCTATGGCTAGCCCCTCAGGCACTTATTGTCACTGTTTTAGCGGGTCGGACTGTAAAGGCGCTGTCCACCAATTAAACACAAATAAAAAGAAAATGGTTATAATAAAACATCTTGAAGCAATCTAGGTTTTAGTTGGAGTCTCTGGATTTCGGAAGGTTGGCCTGTGTTATAAAATCCAATGCTGCTGGGTAATGGAAGTTTTGTAATTCATGGAAAGCTAGAGATTGTTTTAATGTGTCTATTTCATATACAGGGTGTATACAAAGTCCCGCACGGGCTTAATATTTTCTAAACGACAACAGATAAATCAATAAGATTTGGTACATCAACACCACACCTAAAAATCTACTTTTTCAAGGAACTATGAATTTTCTGTCATATTATGGGGACGTCCCGCAAGGAGTCAGAAGGAAATCTAGTAAATAGGAGCATAGGTCAATATGTATGGTTATTTTTAGTAGAATACAATGCCGCAAACCGCACTTCAAAAGGTTGATCCTTTGCAAAATGGCGGCCGTTCAAAGATTTCTTGAATCCGCCATTTTGAATCTTTGAACGACTGCCATTTTTTACTCAGGCGTTCTTTTGAGCTTGAATTTACGGCATTGTAATCTACTAGTGAAGACCTTTAATTTGATGTGCATATCGACCTATGCTTACGTTAACAATTTTTTCCGATTCCTAGGGCTGTGCCCCCTGAGGAGTAAGCGTATAATAACAATGCAAATTAAATTAATCTTTGAACAACTCTCATTATTGGCTCGGTTGTCCGATTGAGTTCAAATTTGCGGCATTATATTCTGCTAGTAAAGACCTTTAATCTGATATAGCCTACGTGCAACCTATGCTTCTATTTAAGATTTCGTTCTGACTCCTTGCGGGACGTCCCCATGATATGACAGAAAATTCATAGTTCCTTGAAAAAGTAGATTTATAGGTGTGGTGTTGATGTACCAAATCTTATTGATTTATTTGTTGTCGTTTACAAAATATTAAGCCCGTGCGGCACTTTATATACACCCTGTATAAGTAAATGGATTTAAAAGTTTGTCCAATTTTTCAGGTGAATTTTTGGCCTGGGACCACAAAAACCTTGGAATTTAGGGTTATTTCTTAGTTTTTGCTAAAACAAGAAAAAACATCCATTCTAAAGAAAAACACATAACAACACCGAATTGTGGATAGAGCACAAAATGCCGCATCCATTGAGCATCTGATTATGAAAATCGAACCAATAATAAGTGATTTATAGTAATTTAAATAAAAGTTATTTAAGTGGTTATTTGTTTGTTTTACTGTATTCGTTTTGTTTATTTCAGCTTAACCTAACCAATATTGTATTAATACTGGAGTCAAACGAGGTGAAGCCCGTGGGTACCAGCTAGTATTATGTTAAATATGCAATGTTCAATAATTTCTTAATACAATAACTTTATTTAAATGACTATAAATAACTTATTATTGATTCATTCCCAGATACTCAGTGGATGCGAAATTGTATACTCTACAATTCCTTTATGATGTGTTTTTCTGTAGGATGGATGGTTTTTGACGTTAGCAAAAACTAAAAAATAACCCTAAATTTCAAGGGTTTTGTGGTCCCAGATCAGAATCTGTTGATGACACATGACCCCTGATGGATTTTTGAACTGAAATAGCGTTTCTTATCACAATTAATTGTCCTTGGTCGAATTAATGTAAATTAAATATTTTTTCCTACAGTCGCCCGACAAAGTTGGCTTCCCTGTACTGTTTATAGTACAGAAAGCTGCTAATTGCTGCATATTTATACTTTGCCGTACGGTTTATACTTTGCCGTACGGTTTATACTTTGCCGCACATCAGGATTCCAACCAAACAACACAAAACAGCGTGGTTTTATTATGCACGTAATCCGTGTACGCTTGGAAATAGGTTGGCAACACTTAAAGATAATAATTCTATGAGCAGCTGATTGACTAATTATAACTACGATTTAACCTGTCATTTCGTGTTTATAGTTTCGGTATTCCTGAACTTTCTGGACTTTTCTTTTAAACGTTTTTAAAATATTCCTACGATCTTAATAAACAAAAAAACTACCTTTTAAGCATTTTTTAAGGCGCGGAAACCACTTCAAATTACTAAAACATACGGAACTATATTCTCAAAACGCGTAGCAAATTTCTTGCCGAGGAAAAATAGCGGAGTGATACGGACCGCGGGTACTACTTTCTCTAGGGCACCATTTTTGTTGCCAGCTGAACCTAAAAAAGCTTTGTATAGTGTTTGAAAGACTAATTATTTATATGCTTTATAGTGACT